TTAACACAACCTTTGCAAATTTTTTTATTTTTTTCTAGTCTATCTAAACATCAATACTATGTCATATTTCTATACTTTTCTACACTTTTTTCAAATCTATCCAAAAACCAAAATCAGTTTCATCCTATCCAAAGATCTACACTCTACAAATGACCAATAAAATTTCTTTATCTTTAACAACAACATCAAACCTATTTAAACATGTTTACAACCAGTCTTCTTTTAACAAAAAATTCCTACACTCAACAACAATACCAATCACAACAATATAACAATATTGACAATAAAAATGATTTGATAACTTACCAAATTGGAAGAGCGCATGACTTGTGCCCTATGCGGGTTTCGATAATCTTTACTTTACATACATCCAAACAACAAAACAAGCAATTGGAGCAGACTTCAGTTATCCGACCCACTTATATCTCAATCACAACACTCTTTTACTAACCATATGACTTTTTATTATCTAAACAATGAAGTTGTGACTCACGAGCAGCAATGCTACCATTAAAGAAAAAAGGTAGTCAAAGTTTAACCAATGTGAGTAAAAGTGTAATATTTTTATTGTGAGTGGAAGTGAGATACCAGGAAGTTGCGCCCTGTAATCTGGCAGCTTAAATCAGTACTCTTTTACTGCTGCTGAAGTCGTGTTCAGCTATCGAAAAGGAAATAGTAACCTAGGTAGACACATTTGGTTTGTGTCCTATGAAAAGGATTGTTGGTTTAAAGATAATACACTCCTAAACCTTAAACACATCACCACTATAACTTTCTACTCTCCATAAATCATTAACTATATCTCTTACTTATAACTAAACAGTATATAGTCCATCCTATATACTATCAATATTTCTTCTTCTAAATCAAACTTCTATTACTCTTTTTTATAATTGGCAATTCTGCCCGAAATGTTTTTTTTATTTTTTATTTTTTCGTAGCAGATAGTTTCTTAGATTTTTTTTTCTAAGTTTTTCCAATGATATATCTGCTCATGGTAGCAGGACAATATGTATTATCATATACTTTATACTTTATTGATTTTGTATATAATGTATTACATTTACTATGTATAATTAATAAAGTTTTGAGAAAGACCTTACTTAGCATTTAAAATAATCATAATAATAATAATAATATTTTTTTTGAGGAGTTATCCCAGTAGGTAAACATCATCTCTTTATTTGATTTGTATATATCAAGGTATACATCGTGAAAGAAACAATATCTCTTGGGTATATTGCATATAACAAGTTAAATGTTAGCTTGCCTACTTATATCATATTTAACTAATATCGTAAAAAATTTTAAAAGCAAAATTAAAATGTCAAATATGGGAGTAGTGGCTATGCCTACCTATTCGAAAAGTTGTTTAATGAAATCTTTTTTTTGAATAAAAGAAATTGAGAAGAAAAAATTAAAAATAATTAAAACTAAAACTTCGTCAAGTAAACTATAAGATCTATAAGTAGAAAATCAATTATTTCTCCAAGAGAACCTCCGGATGGGCTTGTTGTCTCATCTCTCTGGCTTTTCGGTTACCATAGATAATAGAGTACATGTGATGTTGTTTGTTGTTGAAGTTGTTGTTGTGACACAAAACCAGTTTGAGCTGGCACAGTTTTTGTTTTGATTTTTACACAAAATCTGATTGAATAATTGGAAAGCATTGATCATCTGGAGGGGGTAAACTGATTTCGGTTTTTTGTTTGAGAAATTTTTAAACTTTTGAAGTGGCGCAACAAATATTACTGTGAAAATATTGTGTGTGAGGGTTGATTTGAAACAAACAGTAGACCCACTAACTCTGTTTGAGCATATATTTTGGAAAGTATATGATTTAGCGAGTATTATAGTAATAATGTAAATGGTTTTTATGATATAATAAGGATAAGGAGGGATGCAAGAGAACTGAAAAAAAAAAAACTGCCATGGGCCTTTTCACATGCAATCGAAGGATAAGCAAGACTTCCTAACTTGAATAGACTTTGACCAGAGGTCCCATCCCACTGCACCAGTTGTCTTGAAGGTTCTTGAGTTCTTGAGCTGAGGCTCACTTGCGATAAAGAGTGTAAAACATTTTTTCTTACTTAAAATTAATATAAAATGAAAATTTTTAACAAAACGGACATGATCAGAAGAGAGTGTTTATATTTTTATAAATTTTTATTACTTAAAAATTGGTGATATCAATAATGAATACATTCAAAAAAATGAACCTATAATTAATAAAATAATTTTTGAATACAAAATACTTTTCAAAATCTTTGAAGAAAATAAAATTTTTATTACCTTTTTGATAATTTTTATCAGATATATTCATTTAGAAAAGAGTTTTTTATACAGTATATAATTAAATTATTTATTTAATTCTATTAATAAAGTTAAACTAATTTAATCTAATTTAAGCTAATTATAGTTTTTTGAATTTAAAATTAATATATTTTTAATTTAATTAAATAGATTAAGATTAAATAAATTATAATTAAATTTAATAAATTAGGATTGAACCAATTACATTTGAATTAATTAAATTAAGATTAAACTAATTACGGTTAAATTAATTAAATTAAGATTAAACTATTTTTAATAGAATTAATTAATTTAATATTAAATTTTTTATTTAAAATTAATTTAAATCTAATAACCTAGTTATTAAGATTTATTTTTTATTTATTTTTTTTAAACGTAAAATTAAACTCTATGTTTTATTAATTTATAATATTTGATGTATTTTATTTGATTTACTAATATAATTTAAGTAAAAATTTTTTAAAAAAGCAGAAAATTCCGAAATTAAGCTTGAAATTAAACACTATACTTTAATTAATTTTGAATTCTTTTATTTAATTAAAATTTAAGGACATAATATAATTAAAAAAAAATCGAAAAAAACCCGAAACCGGAATAAAAAAAATGCCCAAACTCGTCCCTTATATCTTAATTAAATCTTTCTTATATGAGACTAACTTAGATTTTATAGTCACACAAAATCGCGCTTTAGTACTTAAGCGACCCAGATTGCTTGTTCCTTCTTTTTTACAAAATAAAAAACCATCCCACAAAATATCAAGAGTCCTAGTAACCCAAGCGTAACACTCAAACCAATTAATTTTTTGTTTTCGCCAGTATTGGAGGTCAGGATATCATTAGTGGAAGTACTGCTTGAAACAGATGAACTAGTCGACGTACTAGTTACTGAAGGAGTAAATGAATCGACCCACGAATAGCTTGTGGTGTCAAGGATATATATTTTCAGATTAAGATCCCAAAAACCCGTACTGTTTTGTGCATAACCTAATTTGATTTAACATAGTAATTTGTTAATCCAGTACAAAGAAATATAAAATACGGCTTTAATATACGTGCCAAATGCAACAATCATATAATTTTTATATAAGGTTGCAGAATGACCGCTTAGAGGCGGTGCTGAATTATAAGATGTCGGGGTATACCAACTGTATGACTCAGAACTTGTGTTTAATATAACGAGGCTTGGATTAGCTGTAGTTCCACCATAAACAATAATACGGTCATTACTCGCTTTAATATAAAAGAATTAAATTTTAATATACAATTTTGAGGATATATTTCATGATAAATATACTTACCGAGTACGGCAGTGTGATAAATACGCCCTTGAAGCTTATCTCCTGTAACATTCTATTTAATTTAGTAACCTATTGTCACTTATTAGTGCTTTCTGAAAATAAATTTTAATAATAGCGAAAAAAAATACTCACGGCCGAACTCCAGGTCAAATAAACAGTGTCAAAAAGTTTAAGCTGTTTATGGTTATAATCATTAGTATTTGTTTATTTTAAAATAATAAACTAGAGGCAAAGAATTTTACTTCGTTAAAATTAACAAATCTCACAGTTGCATTACTAAAGCTAACATATTCCCTTCCTCCTATATAAACAATAATCCCATTTTCTAATAGTGTTGCAGTATAATCCACCCGTGGATTTGGGTAACTTTGATCGGCTAGGTAATTAGTCCAAGCATTCTTGCTAATATCCAGGATATGCAAATCATTAAAAAAAGTTTCGTTAGTACGTGGAATGGTAGTTGACGTGGCTCCACCAAAAATATACACTTTTCCTAATTTGTCTATCACACCCATCATATTTGTTCGCACCACTAAAGCATCTCCACTAGCAATAGAAGTTTCCCATTCGTTATTATCGCAATTAAATGTATATAATGAAGTTTTCAGAGTACCATAATCAAGACTACCAATGGCGTAAATAATAGAAGCGTTAAGCGGACTAACAATTGAAGTAAGATAGGATGTAGGGGTATAAGAACCAATTGTATTCACGAGTACCCATGATGGATTATTAGTTTTAAACGGTTTGGATAGGTCTAGGTAAAATGTATCATTTATCACGCCTCCAAAATAATATATTCTAGTGCCAACTAGATTTTGTACTTGATCAGTTCTTGGCAATGGTGTAAAACAAATTGCTTCAGAAATAAAAACTAAATGTAAGAAGATTAAACGTATATTAATAAACATATTTAGTAATTAAGAATATGTAATTAACCCGTATTGCTTATAAATATCGTTTTCACTGTATAAACTCAGAATATGATTATTCTTAAATTTGAAATACATGACTTTATTTATTCTAATTATAGTCACACGGGAACGCCTTGTGTAGTCGCGTACTACGGTAGTGATTATTAACTGAGTTACGAGAACACGATGGTATGACTTATTACGGTATGTGCACATCCCAAATTTAATAAATTTTCAATCCTCCTGCCATTAAGATAATAACCAGGATATCTCTTTTCTTGTTAGACTGACATACAGTGTATCTCCTGGCAGTATTTATATATTAATTCGTGATTGTGCAAATATATATTATATGTAAAAATGACTCGTCCTTTTAAAATTATTGTAAATGTAACTTTCATCGTCGCTTTCGTCGTCATTCTTTGCGCACCAAGTAATAATGATTCTTTTTAATTATATCCATTATATGCTAATCATGACTCAGCTAAGAAAGCCTCGATTTAATAATTTTTATATAGCCATTATTATCAATACTCCAAGTGAACCATTATTTATTGGCGAATCATACAATATCACCTGGTCAGTGGTTGGCCCTGAACCCACAGCTTTAGGCTCTATTTCTATAACTACAGATCTCAGGAGTCCGAGTGCCGTAGTGAATAGAGATATAGCCGTTAATGTAAATCTTACCTATCACTATCAGTTATGGACAGTTGACATTTGGGCTGGTTACTATTTCTTTGGGATTAAGGATGGCAACACTTCTGCAGAATCTGGTATATTCAGAATTAACAATGGTAATTCTGGTATAAATGTCACATCTTTAAGTACATCAACAGGAAGTTCAGTTACACCAATTACTAGTGAGTTTACACTTCATTTTACTAAATCATATTTTTGAAATTATTTATTTCTTAATTTAATAAAACACATTATAATTATATACTGTAGGTACAAACCCACTAGAATCTACTATAAACACAAACCTATCAGAATCTACTGTAGGTAAAAACTCACAAGAATCAAACCGTACTTTAATAATCGTAGCTATTTTTCTAGCTTCTTTATCAGTTATTATTATTATTGTAGTATATAGTATATATCGTAAAAGAAACAATAATCCTTACTTGTACTAGCAATTAATATAATAATTAACTAGTATTAAAAGAAATTTTAAACAATAGACTTAACTAAATAATATTAAGCAATTATAAATATTTATTTAAAAAATTAAAGACAAGAAAAGAAAGATATTAGAAAAATTAATTTATTTAAATAAAAATTCCAACAAATAATAAAAGGTATTGAGTGTATTATATCTTCGTTTTTAAATTCGATTATACATATTCGGAAAATATTTTAACTTAGTTATTTATATTTGTAGTAAAAAAAATATTGTTTGCAATATTATATTAAAGTTCAAATATTTAATATAACTTTATAATTACTATTAAAATAAAATATTTTTTATATAGTTAACACTAGTTGAAATCCAATTATTTGGCAGTATACCACTCATCAATTATTTGACATACAATAAATAATTCATCAAGCATTTGTCAAGCATTTGGCAATAATTCGGCATATTCCAATTTGACAATAATTGTCAAATTGTTGATGAATGCTTGATGAATTATTTATTGTATGCCGAATAATTGACAAGTGGCATATTGCCAAATAATCGGATTTCAACTAGTGTAAACAAGTACATATTTTTTATGAAATCTTTTTAAAAAACAAGTAATATATAATATATTTTATTGCATAAACCACTCTATTGCCTCGAACATTGGTATCTTTAAATGTGACTTTAGAAATAAAAAAGATTGTATTCTTTAATATTTATTTATTTTAAAATTTGAAATTAAAGGTCATTATTTATAATTTATTGCTACACGAAAAATAAACTACTTTTTATAATTCTAAATACTTTTTTTTTTAATTTACAACTCAATTAACATTTTGTTTTAAATTTAAATAGAATTTTATTTTTTACAATATTGTTATAAAAAATTATAGAATTTGTATTTTTATACTTGAAATATTTAATATAAGGGAAAAAACATTTGCAAAAAAAAACTCTTCCCAAACATAAATTTTTTTAAAAATTTTCTTGAATAGTAATTTTTCAAAATTAAAAAAACATTATTATTTTTTCTTCAACTTTCAATATTTAAAAGTTTTTTATATTTTCTTTATTTTTATTATAAAAGTTTTAAAAAATATAAAGAAGTATTCTAATGTATTAGAATAGGACCTTTGGCTCAAATAAACAAGTTCAAAGACTTTTCTCTTTCTCTAAATTGTATAAGAAAAGATTTGTAATAGTTACTTCTCTAGAAATCTTTTTTAAGATTTTTTTTTCTTTTTTACTACAAATAAACATTAAATATATGATTTTTATTAAACAAATTTTTATTAGTCAGTATATTAAAAATTATACATTACTTATTTGTAAAAGTTAATCTTAATCTATTGCATATAAAACCTTCAATTTGCAAAACCATCTAGTAAGTAGTAACAAACTACTAATGGTTTATAAAAAATTAATGCTTATCTATAAACAACTAAGTTAAACCAGACAACAATATATTTTTGTATTTTGTTATTATTATTATTAGTTCTAATAGATTAATACTAATTTAGTTTTTATTATACTGATGAGTCAAAGTTTGATTATTTATTAAGTTTATATAGATTGTTTAAAAAGATTAGTTAAGCTAATTTTAGTTTTTGTGTTTAATAAAATTTTTAATATTATTGAAATATGATTATACTATATAAGAATTATTTGAAAGAATTTAATTAAGACAATAAAAAGATCTATAACTTAAATATGTTTTTAAAAAGAAGTTAATAAGATTAAAAATTATAAGAAAAATAATTGTAATAATGGTAATAAAAAAAATGTGTATAAAGACAAATTTAAAAGAAAAAACAACTATAGATTTTCAACCTTACAAAATTTATAACCAGAGGCTCTATTACAATATAACTGTAGTTCTTAAAGTTCTTATATTTTTAAACTTAAAACTTATAATATATAAAAAATATAAACGACCTGTGGGTCTATAGCACAGTGGTTAGTGCTCCGCAGGTCAGATCACAAGATAATGGTTCAAATCCTCCAGAGGG